TCCCATCCAGCTCCCTCCTTGCGGCCTGGAAAAGCAGTAGAGGATGGCCCACGCCCTTAGGACCCTGCACCCATGTGGGAAACCCAAAAGAAGCTCCTGGCTCCTGACTTTGGATCAGCTCAGCTCCGGCCATTACAGCCCATTTGGGGAGTGAACCAGTGAACAGAAGACTCCTCCTCTCCTTCTCTCCATAAATCTGCTTTCCCAACAAAACAAAACAAACATAAAACTAGGAGGAATGTGTCACTAGCACCTGGCATGTAACAATGGCTCCAAATCCAACCAGGACAAGCAGCGGAAGCAAAAATTCAGGAGCTGTGTGGGGAAGGAAGTCCTTTGGAGGCTCCCGGCTCCAGGCTGCCCTGAGTCCCCAGGCCTGGCCAGGGCGCTAAAGGCCTGCCTGCTGGCGGGAAGTCACCCTGGGATCCTGGCACTTCTGCCGATGATTGACAAGTGTGGCCTGGCAGTGTCACCCAGCGGGACAATGAGGCAATCAGTGTTGCAGAGAAACCTGCACTGGTGAGGTAGGGCCTTTCTTGTGATTCCACACACGAGGGAGCAACCGAAGCTCATGTTCAAACATGAGAGGCTCAAGACACCCCACCTGTCCGGGGCTTTTTGCTCCCTGGGAAATGGACATGGCAGGAGCTGCAGTCTAGCTGGTGTGTTGACCTCATGGCCCCCTCCCAGCTGCTGGGCACCCATGCCAGTGCTGGGGGCAGGGACCCACTGGTAGGCCAGAGACTGTCTGGAGCCGTGTGGGCCAAGGGCAGACATGGTAGGCTTTGGCCAGCTCAATTCGCACTGGGTCTGGCACAGACCAGGAGCGTGACCCAAATCTTTGGTTACCTCCGTGTTCAAGGTCATGGTCTCCAGTGGGGTGTTCATGCCCACTTTCCTTACTGGGCACTGTACCAGTTGTGGCCTTGGGGGACTGAGCAGGACAGACACTGGAGTCGAACCCAGGCCCACCACAAACACAGCCTCGAATAGGGTAGGCCACTTGTGCGGCCTCTTGGCAGTACAGAACATCCTGGAGTTTTCCAGCAAAATCGCGCCCTCTACTTCCCTGTAACAGTTCTCTGAAGCCTGTTCTGCCAGCCTCATGAAGCCCCCAGTGTGCCCAGGTACATGGAGAGCTGGCACCAGCACCCACAGCTCTCCAACCACACCCATATTATGCAACATTGTGGAAAAAGCCTTGCTTTGACACCCCCGCACCCCTTGCATGCGCAGAGCCCCGCACCCCCACAGCAGTGCAGAGCCAGACAGCACTCAGGACCAGCCCCTGTCAAGTCCTGAATGGAGCTGGGAGGTATGGAGCAGGTGTCTGGTCACACCTGAGCTACCTGGAGGAAGCTACACCCTGCAGACAGGAGGCTGTAGAAGCTTCCAGAAGGAAAGCCTGGTCTTCCTATAGCCTCCTCCTTCAGGCAATGCACACACTGCACGCTCCCCTCAATCTGCACAACTCACAGGGACAAGGTATGCCCAGGGCCCCTCTCCAGCCGAGAAGCCAGAGGTGCAGGAAGTGCACCTGTGGGGACAGGTCCACTTCCTGAGGGCGCCTCTTGACTCACCCTGACCCTGGTCCCGCTGAGCTTCACCCACATTTCACGGCAGGCTGCTGCCAAGTGTCTGGGCCCACACTGCAGTCACCACACACTAGTCCCTTATTGCACCACAACCTAAAACCCAGACAGTCGGAAACCATGCAGGTTAAAAGTCCCAGCCCAGACAGCCACAGGGAGAGGAGACCGGCCCACAGCACAATTCTAATCAGACTCCTAAATCACCAGCCTGCCCCTAAATGGCAATCTAAGACGAAAACTGGGGGCCTCACCCCCCCCGGGGGGGCCCTCATCCTTCCCCTACCTACTCCACACCAAAATTAAGACGTAGGAGGCCAAGGTGGCAGACATAAAGTGTGAAGCCACTCAGGCCTTTGGAGGCCTGGACTTTGGAAGGGAGGTGAGGTTGCCTGGGGGTTTTCGTGCTGTCCCCTGGTCTCCCAATACCTCATGGGGAACCCCAACACCTGATTCACCTGTGGTCCTCACCAGAGCCACTGGGCTGCATCTGGAAACAGTCTGGGAAGACACAGCTGGAAGTCAGGTGGTGGAAGGCAGCTCCTGAGATGCAGGGCTGCAGCCCAGAGCCCCTCACAGCTCCATGCCCACTCCACATCTGCCACCCCATGCCCACCCCCATTCTCTGGCCCAGATGTCTGCATTCCAACAGGAGCAGCACAAGCCAGACATGTTCACGGAAGGCTGGGCGTCCCGACACGTTTCCAGCATTTGGAATATCTGCTTGGAACAGGCTGCTGGGAAGGCCCAGGCCTCCGGCACCTGCCGGTGTTCAACAAACAGTGCCCCTGGAGATGCCACCACAGAGTCGGCACTCCTGCTAGCCAGCGCCGTCTGGCACCCGATTCCCATCTGTCCACACAGCACACATCACACTGATCTGTCTGTCCCCTTCGTCTCAGGCAAAACAGGAGAAACTTCCAAGAGCTGCAGAGAGCTGGAGACCTTATCTGCAGGCACCCGGGCCAAGCACTTTCAATCCCAGGACCCCTGGTTCCCAGACAGCACCCTCACCCCTGGAGTGCCAAGGCCCACCCATGTGGCTTCCCAGAGCCAGCCCCAGCTCCCAGACAAGAGTGACACTGCTGAACTGCTCCAGACCCCAAGTTCAAGGCATACCTCCTCAAGGGACCCATGGGCAAAGCTTCCTGCTGATCTTCTTCATCTCTTAGACTAAGGGCCTTGAATTCCAAGTTCACCAAAGCTGCCCTGACCCAGGTCTGAAGTTTGGGGCCACTGAAGCCCAGACAGAGAGAAGCAGCACCGGCAGGCGAGGAGCCCTGCTAGGCAACGAGGCCTAGCCAGCAGCCTTCAGCCCCACCAGGATTTCAGATGCCCACCAGCATGGTCCCAGTTTTCAAGGTGGCCTGAGGGCCAAACAGGCCCATCTCCAACGGAAAGACGGCATCCCTGCGGAGGACTGCCTGATCCCAGGCCACAGCGAGTTCTCCAGGATGGGGTCCATGAAACCCACCGCAGCTCCAACTTCTCCCTCCCTCCCTTCCTTCCTTCCCATCTTTTGTTGTCAAGGAACTCGGCAAGCGCCAGGCCTTAGGGCTCCCTCAGTCCACTCTTTCAAGGAAACTTGATTAACACTTGCAACAAACTGTTACACTGTACCTCAGGCCTGTCTGCCCTCCCTAGCTGCTTCCTGAGAAGCAGGGAACTGCTGTGGGCAAAGGGTGTAGTGCCCCACCCAGGCAGGGGCCAGGATCCAGGTTCTAACCTCAAGGGTCTGGCTGCGATGCCAAGGCAGAGCATGAGCAGCGGGCGGACGGGTGCAGGCAAGGAATTTAACAAGATGCCTGGTGTCGGCCACAACATTAGGGCTGATGAGCTCAAGAAGGGCGAGGAGTCAGTCAATGTTTAAAAAGCCGTGGCCAGCCCTGGGATAAGGGCCATGGCACCAAGAGGGTCCCTTGGGCGGGAGGCCCCCCCAGGCAGCGTCTCTTGGAACAAGTGCCAGCATATTTAATGATATCCTCGTGCGTTTCATTAACCCGAGTTCACCAAGGGCCTCTGGGAAGCAATCTGGTTTAAAGCAAGTCAATTCCACAATCGCCAGCCCCGGGCACCTTCTCCTGGCACGTCCCCACCTGGCTCTGGGCAGCTGGGGGTGTGGAGGCGGGGCAGGAACGGGGTGGGCAGACGGAGACCCACCACAGAGAAGATGGTTGGCCCGGGCTGCCAAGGGCTGGTTCCGGGTTATCTGTACCTCTTGGGGATCTCTCAGGGCTGGGGGGGCCATGGACGACGGCTTCATGAGTCACCCAGCAGCTGCCTCGGGACTTGGGGTCCTGGCTGCGGAAGGCGGCACAGCAAGGAACAGCTGAGACGCCTCCCCAGTGAGTCCAGACAAAGCGAAGGAAAAAGTTCAGGCAGGCAAAAGGCCCCCTAAAAGGGGGTGAGCTTGGGGGAGGGAGAGGGGACTCTATTCCCCCACCGAACCACTCACCCACCAGGATGGGCTGGGGTCGGGGAGAAGGCTCCATTCACCCCTGAACCAAATACCCACGAGTGGGCGGCGAGGTAGGAAGGCAGCAAGGGAAGGCGGAGGTCCCTTGTCTCAACTTCTGCTTATGCAGGGCGCTGACGCCAGCCCTGAGGCCCAAACGCCCCCACTCCCCACCCTGGGTCCAGCTGCTCCCCAGTCCCAAACTTCCACTCCTCTTTAACCACCGTCCCAGCCAGACTGAGCCATGCCGGCCAGACAGAGCTATATATAGTCGGGCCGGGGACTCGGCGTGCGCACGATGACACACACACTCAGGACCCACGCTGGGCCCCAGCTTCAAACACATGAGCACCGTTGGCTCCCCAAGTTTCCGGGGATACCCGGGCCGCGGGGCCGCGCACTGACACAGGCACACGGGGGAGACACGTCCTCGGGGGACAGACCGCACCAGCCCCGCAGACACCTAGGGAGACGCACCGAGCGCCAGACAGACACACGCAGACACGCACATCCCGCAGACGCAGCGAAACCCACTCCCGGGACCGAGACACAGCGCCACGCACGCTCGAGACACACCAACCCGGGCCCAGACACTTCGCAGACCAGACAGCGTCTAGCGGCCGGCCACACTCCACCCAACCCCCGCTCCAAGTTGATAAAAAGCCGGCCTAATTGCTCCACCGCCACGGCCCCTTAGGGGAATAAAACTGTAACTTCTCGGCTCCGGCCGTGCCGGCCCTCCCGTGCCGTGCGCGCCGCCTCCGGTCCGAGTGCCGGCGGGTGGGGCGCGGGGCAGCGGGACAAAGCCGGGCCGGCCGCCAGACGCCGCGGGCCGAGAGGGCGCGCCCGGGGCGCGGCGGGCGCAGGGCACACGGCCCCGGCTCCCGCCCGCGGCTGCGCCCGGACTCGGGGTCGGCGTCCGACGGGGCCTAGGGAAGGGGCGCGGGGTCACTCACTGATCTCCATGCTCTGGAACAAAGAGCGCCTGCAGTTGCACGTGCAGGAGACATTCGGCTGCCCGGCGGCGGCGGCGGTGCTGTTGGCCCCCATCAAGCGGTGCATGGACGGCGCGGCGCGGCGGCGCGCGGCTCGGGGGGCGCGGGGGCGACCGGGGGGGGCTCCGGCCGGCGCCCAGGGCTAGGGCCCCGCATGCAGGAGGCGCGCGGCGGGGGGAGAAGAGGGGAAAGGCGCGCCCCGGCTCGCCTGCTTGGGGCGCCGCCAAGTTCCCGGGGGCGCCGCGGGGCTCAGCGCGCGGGGCCGCGCTCCTCTGCGCCCCCCGGACGCCCCCGGTGCGTCGGCAGTGCCCGTGGGTAGCGTCCGGGAAATGGGCCGGCAGCCGGGACGCGCGCTGCCGCCGGGGCTGAGCCTCCGCCGCTGGCTTTCCCCAGCCGAGCGCCGCCGCCGCCGCCTCCTCCTCCTCATTCAAGTCCAAGGAGATCGGGTTTCGCTCCGAGACCGCGGTCGGAGGCAGGCAGACGGTCTGACGTCAGCGCTAGACGGGGCTGCCGGTTCCCACCGCGCGGGGGCCGGGGAGGGGGCGCGCGCTGCGCCAATCCCCGCCGAGGTTCCCCCGCACCCCCTCTCCGGGCCGGGCTGGGGGGGCGGGGAGACGGGAAACGGGGCGGGCTCTTAAAGGGCCAGCAGCAGGCGGCCCGCGGAGACCCGGGACCCACGCCACGGCGCCCAGCCCTGGCCCGCGCGCGCCGGAGAGTTCGGGTGCGCCCTCCCCGAGCCGCCATCCCCGGGGTCCTGGGCCTGGCCGGGGCAGGGTGGCTACCCTGCCTCCTAAGGAGCACGAAGCGGAGACGGGAAAGGGACCTTGGGGAAGGAAGGGGACGCTCCCCGGACTAGTCACCCATGGGCTGAATTCGCACGAGGATCTCTCCGTCGCCCCACGAGGCTCCTAGGCCGAGACGCAACCCCCCCTCGCGCTTTTACCGAGGAGGTGGACTCGGGGAGCCTGGGACTCGCGTAGACACGCCCGGCAGCGTTGTCATGTAAATACGTGTCGCGGACGGGTGTATTGTCCTGCCCCAGCCGGCGGCCCCGGGCGAATCCACACCCATTGTCTGCTGCCCGCGGGGCCTGCCGGCTGGGGGGCGCGGCTCGCTTTCCAGAGGGCGGGAGTCGGGGCTGGGATTTTATTTCCTGAAGTTTTAATTACCCAAGTGCTCCGAGAACACACGTTCTCGGAGTATAAAGAAAAAATATTAAAATATTACGCAAGAGACCTCCCTCCCTGGCACCTTCTGCAACCTCCCCAGAATTCGGTGCGTCCCCTCTGGGAGCCAGCACTTTTGCAGCGCATACTGTGTGCCTCGGCAATTCCAAACGCGAGCTCCGCCGGACACCAACTAGGGCAGGCAGGACGACCCTGGGGTAATCTCTTGTCCAGGTCCCTGGGGTGTCTCTCCCCGCCCCCGACACACACCCGTTTCCTTTAGTAAACGTGCTGCCGAAGCGAGCACCCACCCGTTTCCTTTAAGTATCCACGGCTTCCTCTACGACCCGGAGTTTTGGTAATGAGCAAGGACTGCTTTTTTTATTTCAAAGCAAAAGAAAAAAGCTGCTCAAAGTTGCTATTATTTTCTTTTGAATAAATTGGGTACAGGATAAGGAAGGAATGTGGAAAGTGTAGGTAGAATTGGGAGAATTTGTGTAGCCCAGGGAGCATTCACCCTGCAGAACGACACACACACACACACACACACACACACACACACACACACCACACACACACACACACACACACACACACACACACACACCCCGAGTTCCTGTCTTGGGGGACTTCTCCGGAGGGTCTAAGCTCAGGCATGGCTGCCTGGGACAATGTCATAAGGGGCCCAGGTGGCTGGCCCAGAAGGAGGCTCAAAGATGCCAGCCCATCATCCCTTGTGCGCCTTGGAGCACCAACCAGCCTGGGGTCAGGCACCAGCTGCCCGGGCCAGGGCAGAAAAAAACGGCGTCCCCGCCAGTCGTCTTCCCTAGGGCTTGGCTGGCGACCCCGGAGCGGGAACCCTCGGGGTTCCCTCAGCAGACCCTGGGGGTGGGGGAGGGGCCCGCGGCGCCCAGGGTCCCCCTCACCCCACCCCCTCCTTTCAGCTGTACCTTCTTTCCTTCAATCCACAAACTTTCACTGGGCTTCCAGCCCAGGACGCTGGACACAGCTCCCGCCCCGGGGGACGTCTCTTGCGGAGACCTGGCCTGTCTGGCAGGGAGAAATCCCCCACTGATTGTCTTGGGAATGAGGCAACATTTACACAACCCAGGTTGAAAGCCGCTGGACAAAATAACCAGTTAATTCGGAGGGAGGATTAGGAAGCCAGCCCAGACCTCCCACTCTTGCGTCTGGGTCCCCAGAGACTCCACTGTTTACACAGTGCCAAGGCGGGACCCTGCTGTGCTCATGGGGTCACCGGAGGTTGGCTTAGCCTGTGTCCTAGCTGGTCCTGCCTGGAGGGCTCAGGGGTCCAAAGCAGGGCCCCCAAAGCCGTGTTTTCCTCCTCTGCAGAATTGGGGAACTCATGGTGCCTTGGTGGGGTGTAGCTGGGGCAAGTGGGGAGCCAGATGCAGGTTGACACAATGTGCATCTTCACTGCCGTCCTGGGAGGGGGGTCCACGCTGCCGACTAGCAGGTAGACTCCCAGACACAGGAGTGGCCAGTGGACAGTGCAGGATGACCTTGGGAGGTGTGTGGGCCTGGCCAGGCCCGCACAGCGTGCCTAGAGCTGCGCGATAAACTCTGGACGTGTGGTTCCATCTGGTTCTCAGATGTGCCACAAGCAGTGTGCCGTGTAAGTATACCCTAGGCAGCATTTGGGACATACTTGTACTAAGACTAGGTCTTGTTTATCTGAAGTTCTAATGTAAATGGCTGTCTGGTGACCCCACGTGCACCGGCCACTGGGCTGGGAATGTGGTTATGAGGACGTGGAGGCCACTGCCAGGCTGGGCTTATGCAGAAGCGCCCGTGACTCACAAATTCTGCCCAGGGCACATGGCGGTGGGGGAGGAGAGGGACAGAAACAGGCTGGGGTGTGGGGAGCTGTGGGAACCAGTGTTCCCGAGGGGGAGAGGCCTCCTTTCCTTCTACAAGTGCTGAGCTCCGACTGCGTGCCAGGTCCTGTGTCCCTGCGGAGTACAGAGGCGCCTCGGACACACTCACCCCAAAGCTCTGCAGCTTTGGGTGGAGAGAGGTCAGGGGAGCCCTCCCTAAGGAGGTGGCAGCTCAACCCTACACTGAAGAAGCCCAGTCCTCATTTTCTCAAAGCCAAGACAGAGCGCTTGAGCCAGCAGAGGCCGGGGGACCGTTTCAGAGGGCAGAGCTGGAGCAGGCACCAAGAGTGTTATTTAAAACAGTTCAAGTTCTAGTTCATACATTACTGCGGTATTATTATGATATTATTACACGCAGCTAATCCCCGCAACCTGGTTCTTTAGTGTGAGCCAAAAACACCAGACGCAGTGAAATACCTTAGGAGGTTTATTCCAGCAGGGCAGGAACAGGATGGGGTGGTGGGGAGGCTGGGGGAGGGGAGGGCCGGAAGGAGAAGAGAGAGGCCGCACCTGGGGCCTTTGTCACTCAGGTGAGCCTGCAAGGTGTGGGGGGCGGGGATTGGGAGGGATGGAGGGCAGGCCCCAGGGGACTGGCCAGTGATGCGGGGTTAGGGTTCAACAATCAATTGGTTTACCACACATTTTAAGCCTACTAGGCGCCCTTCACAGTCATTTAGCAGTCATTTAAAAACTCAAACATTTCAAACTTGCTGATTTTTGATATTCCCAGTCAGGCCCCATGGGAATGTCAAAAAGAACTTATCTCTCTTCTGGTAGAGATGACCATTGATTAGGCTGTTTGGATTTTATTGAAAGATGCTGTTAAGATGTGAAGTGGTATAAATTTTATGTTATGATGATGAAATATTAACACTGCTATTGGTACAAATGTGAAAACATCGCTCAAGCCTAATAATCTTATTATTGCATTATTGTTTACAGCTGTTATCCTAATGAACAAGGCCTAAACAGCACAAGTGTGCATAAAGTCCTACAGGTGGTTCCACAGTGTGCTGTGTAAAGTAAATAGATGTTTATACTTGATAACTTTGTAATTCTAACAATAAGTGCTTCATCTTCTAGGTTCCAGGAGACACTATTGCATCCACTGCAGACAGAGCGAAAGTTAAACAGCAAACTACAGGTTCCAACTAAAAGCACCTGCAACTAGTGTTACTAAGAGCAAGATGTAATTCTAAATAACTGGTAACTTTAAAACTTTTTTTAGAGCTTAAAACTATTTTTTCAAAAAGGCTATTACAAAAGCTGTTTTGTTTTATAATGCATGTTACCTGGTATCTAAGTACATGTTTGTGTGGCAAGCTATGTAGCCTATTCTAATTGGCTTATAGATGAAAATGTTCATAGATGAGAATTGCTTGATTGAAATTGATTGAAATAAATCTCAGATTTATTGCCACAGAGAAATCCCCCAGCTTCTTAAAATGCTTGACTTTGATATATTCCATTAGATTCTATGTAGAGAAGAGTAGGTGATGTACAGATAACAGATTCTTAACTGCCCTGGACTTTAGGAAAGCGTTTTGGAAACTTACAAATGGGACCTGAAAGTGCCCTGATTTCCTCTTCAAGGGGTCACCATGGTCTTTTACCTCAGAGACCAGGAGGGGATCCCATGGCAGAGCAGTATAGGACAGGTGGGCTCCTGGTTCCAGTGAGACCCCCGGAGGCCTCCCAAGGGCTCTTCATTGCAGAAGCATGGACACTTCGCCAAGGATCTTCAGACAGGATGCCCTGGGCCACGTCCCAGCTACCAAAGAGGTCATTCGAGATATGACTGCTCATGAAGGCCAAGTACTTCAGGTCAGTCATTTCCCATTGGATCTGCCACATGGGACGGAAGCAGCCGGTGAACTTTCACAGGCTCAAGGCCATCCACGGACTTCAGTGACACCTTGGAACAGCACCCAACAGCCCTGGGTGGTTCTCACAGCGGAAGGGAAAACTGTAAGTTTGCATATGGACACAGCCTTCTCTGTCCC